CCAAGGCTCGCCTGAGAGGATTTACTGAATGTTTATTAAGCATCTGCTCTGGGTCACGGTACCGTTCAAGGACTTCTTTGAATCTCTCTTTGTACCCCTATAAAGTAGGCTCACCTGACAGCCTGCTTTGGCAGATAGGAAAACTGAGGCTCAAAAAGTCGAAATGATTTACCCAAGGCACCAGGTAGTAAGTGGCACAGTCAGGGTTCAAATCTAGGCCAGTGTGAAATTCCAGCCAGTGACAATCTCCAGAGAGGGGCCTCCAGTCATTCTTCTGTGTGTGTGTTCCTGAATGCACATATGTGTGTAAACAAGTGTGTTCACTGCTTCCCCCATCAGACTGAGCTCTTAAAGAGCAAGCCCCACCTGCTCTTTCCTCAGTCTCCCCACAGAGCCCATTTCAAGGATGCTCCCTGGCAATGTCAGGGCTGTGAAGGACAGGGCTTAGATACTTTGTACACAGCGGGTGGCTCTGCAGTTCTCCTCAGAACCTGAGCCTTCTAGACAACCAGATGTCTGAACTTCTGGAGGAAAAGTCCTCAGTCACCAGCATCTGCCCTCACAATGCCCAGTGTTCAGTGCCCTGGAGACTTCTCCAGTGAAAGCCAGGAGGCTGACTGGTTGGCTAGAGGAAACGGCTGTGGTGGGAGGGGGCAGGTGGAGAGACTGTGAAGTCAAGAGCATGGGTCAACACAGAGGAACCAGGACCTGAAGACAGGAGCAGATAGTGACTTCCACATGGCCTGTCACTTGGCGGTGCCAGCAAGCCCCAACCAAACACAAGCTCTTTGAGTTGTTTTAAAAGATTGTTCTAGCCGCCGGGCATGGTGGTGCATGCCTTTGGATTCGAGAGACTGAGGCAAGCGGATCTCTGTGAGTTCGAGGCCAGCCTGGTCTACATAGTGAGTTCTAGGCCAGCTGGGGCTACAAGGAGACCCTGTCTCAAAAAAAGACCAAAAAAAAAAAAAAAGATTGTTCATCTCTGGGGGAGTTGGGACGGGGGTAAAAGACAGCAAAGGGGGAAGGCTCCTCACTCAGCTCTGGGGCCCACAGACCTGGATTCAAATCCACCTCTCTGCATTCTCAGTCAGGTAGCCTGGGGTGAGGCTCTCCTCCACTCTGAACCCACTTCCCTCCCAGGTCCAAGGAGAATTAACTGGGTCAGGAGAGCCAGGGCCTGTCTTATCCTGGCTCAGGATAAGCACCCAATAAGTGGCAGCTTAAAAATAGATGAGCCAGGGCTGGAGAGATGGCTCAGTGGTTAAAAACACTGACTGCTCTTGCAGAGGACCCGGGTTTGATTCCCAGCACTCACATGGGGGCTACAAACCGTCCTTAACTCCAGTTCCAGGGGAATCTGAAGCCTTCTTCTGACTTCTGCAGCATTGCTTGGGTGCACTCACATGCATGCAGGCAATACACTCATACACATTAAAAAAAAAATAGATGAGCCAAGGGCTGTGGTTGTAGCTCAGTTGGTAAGAGTGCTTGCCTAGCATGCACGAAGCCCTGATTGCAGCCCACAAGCACCAGGCATGGTGGTTTATGTCTGTAATCCCAGAACCTGGGAGGTGGAGGAGAGAACCAGAAGTTCAAGGTCATCCTCAGCTACATAGCAAATTCAAGGCCAGCCTGAGCTGCATAAGAACCTATCTATCTATCTCTATGTATCTATGTATCTATGTATGTATGTATGTATGTATGTATGTATCATCTATCTATCATCTATTAATTATCTATCATCTGTTCATCCATCTATCATCTATTATCTATCCATCCATCATCTATCTATCTATCTACCTATCTATCTATCTATCTACCTATCTACCTACCTATCTATCTTCCTATCTTCTATCCATCCATCATCTATCATCCATCCATTCATCCATCCATCATTCACCTATCTATCACCTATCTATCAATCATCTTTTCATCCACCCATCTATAAAGCCAGGCATGGTAGCTCAAACATGTAATTCTAGTATTTGAGAGGCTAAAGCAGGAGGTCATCTTGAGTTCAAGGCCAGCCTGGACTACAGAGTAAGATTCCATCTCAAAAAAAAAAGTAAATTTAAAAATTAAAAAAAAAAGGAAAAATAAGGGGCTGGAGAGATGACTCGGGGGTTAAGAGCACTGGCCATTCTTGCAGAAGACCCAGGTTCATGTCCTAGCACCCACATGGTGGCTAACAACTGTCCAGTAACTCCAGTTCCAGGGGAATCTGACACTCTTTTCTATCCTTCTTGGGCATTGCACAACACAGGTGCACTTACATACATGCAGGCAATACACTCATACACATAAAATAAAACTAAATAAAAAATAAAAATAGATAAGGAGCACACAGAATAGTTCCTGAATACACTGTGTGGGGCTGGGCCGGTCACCTTCCTACTGGTCTCTGTACCAGTGTCTGCCACTGGCTGCTTCCCAGGCAGCCAGAATGTTCCCTTTCCCTTCAAGAAGGCCTGGAGCAACTGTCTGCAGGAAGGCTGATTTATGAGCCACCAACAAAATGACTGGTGAGTGCTGACAGTGCAGGTCCTGGCATATGCAGGATGAGGGTCTTCACCTTGAGACTCTCCCTGCCCAACCCTATCCCCCCACACGGGTACCATTTCCACTTTAGAGAGGAGAGTACCCAGGCACAGGCTAAATAATTTGCTGAGGACACACCCTTGAGAACAGAGAAAGGGGACAGCAGGCTGGACCCTCCTGACTCCTTTGCCCGGCATGCAGAAGCTAACTGCTGGGGCAGATGGCTCTCTCAGGTGTGGCCTGGACCTGGCAGAGGGTGGGGGTGGGGTGGGGTGGGGAATGGGTGGTCCAGATGGGTGCAGGCTGCAGGCTCTCTTGGGCATCACTGCAAAGTGTGTGATGCCTGGCCTCTGCTTCAGGCCTCCAAATCTGGTCCAGACAAGTCCTTGGTCAGTGGATCCTATGGTCAACAAGGGGTACAGGTGTGCAGAGGAGGTGGAAGCTAGGGAGCCCAGGAAAGCCTGTAGTTCCAGGACGGACCAAGGATTGAATGCATGGTGCAGAAAGGAGACCAGGCAAGATGGAGCCCGATGCAAATCCTGCCTTTGTTGTTTCCCAGGTACATGGTAGGTCACTCAATACCCTCATTTCTAAAATGGGGACCATGACAGTATGTAACCCGAGTTAGTTTTCAGTGTCTAAGACTTGTAGAGGGGAATCTGGTAAGTCATAAGCTCTCAGAAGGCCTCTGTTCAGTAGGTCATCTACCGATTTTCTAGAACGATGGTTGTCCTCTGTCCACGTGCTTCCCCGTATCTCCCACTTCTATCCAAGTTGCTGGGGTACACATTAAGACTATACAGCTCCATCCTCTCAGGAGGGAGACAAGACTGGAATGTACAACTCGATCTGAGGGTGGCACTCAGGAAATCCAGGATACAAGAGGGAGGATGGAGAGGGTGTCTCGGCCTGTGGGACCTCAAATGCTCTGGAGGAGGCGGTCAGAAAAGGAGGATCAGGTAGGGGCTGGACACCTGGGCATCAGAGTGACCTTGCCAGGTGTCTCTTCCTATTTACTTCTGTCCTGTTCTCTGTGGACCCTCTACCCACAAGTCAGTATACCTGGGATGGGTTCCCCATGGCACCTGGCATGGGTTGGGGTCACTGAGGCAACATCCAGCTCCCCTACATGTGCCTCCATTGGACGCTGTTTAGAGCCTTTGGGGCTGAGAGCCTGGAGCACCCAGAGACGCTTCATTACTTTCCACTCTGATGGCTACTCCACAGACCAGGTGTTGTGCTGGGTTCTTCACACTGATTCCAGCACAGAGCCTGACACACAATAGGCGTCCCGTTACTCATCAATCAACTTGACCTAATCTCACACAGCCCGCCCCTCCCCTTCCCTTCCCATGGTCCCACTTCTAACACCTTCAAGAGACATCCTGAGCCACTCCTCTGAATATTCCCCCATGAACTTGAGAGCAGGACCCGTCAGAGTTCTGAGGATGGGGTTAGGAGTGTTGTGGTCCTTCTCCGGGGGCCTCTCGGGAGCCTGCCCAGCCCCTCCCCCAAGGTAAACTGCTGAGTAAATACTGGAGTGACCAGTAGGATGACTGTCCTTTAAGACTTTGGGGTTTGGGCTGAACACACTCTCACTCCGAGCTTACCCCTTGCTCCTAGTGGGGTAGAGTCCCAAGTGGATGACTCATCCCCCTTTTTTGTTGACACAGGGTCTCATATAGCCCAGGTTGGCCTCGAAGTCTACTGTGGAGGCTGGCTCTGAACACCTGATCCTCCCACCTCTCCTCCAAAGAAGCATGTGCCATTACACCCTCCTAATCTCTTTTCCAAAATGTTACTCCCAAAACACATATGCCGACTGCCCAGCCTCGGTGAAATACCTTCTGTCCCCCATCACATGAGGGGTCATTCCACTTCCCTGGCACCACCTTGGGGCCAACCAAGAATGCCAGGTCAGAGACAAAGGCCCAGGGGTTAGTGGGAACATCAGCTGTCTGTCCCCTTCTGTCCCCTGAGCAGAGATGGGGGTGGGGACCAGGAGTTAAGGATAAAGGTGGGAGAGGGACCTTTTCTATAACCTGTTCACCACCACTGACCCCCTTCCTTGCCAAGGGCTTCTGGGACTGCAGACAGTGGGCACAGGGAGGAAAAGGAATCTGGGGCTAGGAAGGCCTGCGTCTTAGGAGGCAGAAGCGAGATCTCTGTGTCCTCGTGGTGCCCAGGGCCCCCTAAAGAACCGGAAGCGTCCCTCCCCTCCCAGGCACACTGCAGGGGGTGTGTAACCGCCGGGAAGAAAGCATGGTACCCGGACCCTGCTTTGTGCCACCTGCAGGGTGTCTAGCGGGGCGTGGGATGTGGAGACCTCCGCCCGCTTTGTGCGCTGTCCCGGTGCTGCACCGTGTCCCCTGGGACGCGACTGGTCCGTGAAGGGCGGGCGCCCAATCCGGGCTCCCCGGGTCCCCCAGCCCTCACCGCGTCCCCGGCTGCGCTCTCCTCACCTCGCGACACGCAGGAGCCCATCACCGGCCGGCGGGGCCGGGCCGCTGCGCCCGGGGTGCGGCGGGCGGCCGGGCGCTCATGTCTCCGCGGGCC